CACACACACCACACACACACACACCACACACCACACACCACACACCCATCACACACACACACTACGGCAAACAGCAAGAGCGGTCCCATTGCGCATCATGCAGTCGTACGTGTCCGCAGCTTCACCCTTGTCGTGACGACTGCATACGGCGCGTAGTCCTAGCGCTTTCCTCGTCCGGAACCGGCTCGCGTAGCACCGGCCGTTTTTTATCCTAACATATTTCAGCAGATTGTTATACTTACACCTCTACAGCCTAACACAACCGTCTCAATTACGAGATCAGCGGAAATTTAAATCAGAAGTTATAAGTCTAATTTGTAAGCGATAACAAACACTAGGTTTGGTGCTTAGACATAAACTTTAACATACCGAGTACTGTGCTCCAAGACTACTATACGTTCCCAAATTATTCGTCTACCCATATTGTCGATAACTTAACACTAATGATCACCCCCGACCCGCACAACTTTCATTCGAACAACAAAAGGTAAAGATCAATATTTTCAGACATTAATAATTTCTAAGCGTGAATTGCCATTTTACTTAACGCTGCGAAATATCCTTCTTGCGAACAGCGTTCCGCGATAGACTAGGGAGCCGCGTGGTGAGAATCCAACCTGTCAGGACTTGAGACGTAGGCCAGCGACACTAGTGCAAACACACCTACAACGTGCTGCGCAGGTGCCGGTGTGAACTAATGTGACAAGTGAAAATCATAAGAAATAGAGTGGCATCAAAAAGATATGCCTGGGTGATAGCATCTCACCATCTCGCTTAGACCACATCGTCAGTATAATTCTCAAATAGGATAATCTTCACAGCGTAAATAGACCAAGAGGCACATTTAACGGCGAAGAAATTTTAATGCCGTGTGCAACTAAAGTCAGGTTTTTGCATGATACATAAAAGCAATATAGATAATCTGCATAATACATCACCGAACTTGAACAACGATTGAACAACTCGGTTGACAAGCTGCGAGCCATATTTCTAGCAGAGGGCATACAGAATCAATGCAGTTCTACTTTCTACACTCACTACAGCTTGGGCCTGAACAGTGAGCTTTTATTACACTACAGATTTACCCAGACTTAGCATATCTAGGAAGAATTACCTTCATAAATTATAATTTACCTCTTTAAAAGTACTTTATATGTATACTTTCTTCGATTTAATGAATTTTATTACATTTTCCATATCTAACATCTACCTCTGCTCCACGATTCTTTTATGCATTGTAACTGATATCTATCGACTACTTAATAGTAAAATATACGAGACCGTCCTTCAATGACCTAATTTTCGCTATTACCAACATCGCTTTGATATGTTTCTACTACATCTCAGGACGTTTTTATCTTGGAGAGGAACATGGACGTTGCGGAATTAGTATCGAAACCAGTAAGATGCTTTATGATCAAATCTGCTCCGACTAAATGCATTTGTTTCCCGTATGTTTTTGAGTTGCCACCATTTCTTGAGTGATAGGCATGATATTACGGATTCCATTTGTCCGAATTCATCATAATACGTACACTCCATTCTCTGTCTGCTCTGTCTCTCTCCACTCTTATCGAACCCCTCATCCCTTCTTCGCTATATCTCATCCGGCTCTCTTCTCTCCCTCGTTCACACTCTGTCTCTCTCTCTCTCTCTCTCTCTCTCTCTGTCTCTCTCTCTCTCTCTCTTTCCTTCTTTTCCCTTCTATCCTTTCTCGATCTTAAAATGTGTAATGTATACGTTGTTGATATCGAATCGGTCACTAACCCGCTATAACTTTCCTCACTTACAATAACATGAATACAAAAATAACGTACTAAACCACACCGATGACAATTTGCTCTCGTCTGTGTGATTTAGAACGAATCGTTTTCACCCGACAGTGTCAGCGCTAACGCCGTAACTGCAACACCGTTTAACGCGACATAGAGTCGCACGGCGCACAACTGAAAGCTTTGCACCGACTTCCAGCACACGCGGTGGGCGTGGCCTCCATCAGACGTCAATCATTCACTTGTGGAGCATGCGCAGCAGTAGGCAAGCGCACGTCAGCAGAACGCTTGCAGACAATGCCTGTTGTCCGTTGTCGGGCTTCTGTTTTCCTAGAGAAAGAAAGAATTCGTTCCCGTGTTTAAAACCGATGTGCGCTGTATTTTATTGATATTGATGTATATAACGATATGTTATAAGCGGGCAAATCCCACACGCCAGGGAAAGTGATGGCGATGCGGGAAAGCAATCGATGTCAGGGGAATGTCATGACAAGCTGCGAGCGGACTCCAGATCAAGGGAGCCGACAGCGCAGGAGGGAACGCAAGAACCGGAAACTACGGTCATGAATCCACGAATCCTTGCGGATTGTGACAGGCGGCCGCAAAGGTGCTGACCTGTAGATGACTGTGCTGACACCATGGCCATAATCGGACTATGGATCCGAGCCAAGGGGAAATGCGCACCCCCACCTTATTCGGTAGTGTAATGTAGCAGTTGTAATACTCACCCCACCTTATTTAGTATGGCCGGTTAGCCAGAAAGGGAGCTAAAATAAGGACGGTGACGTAGGAGAGGGAACGCCGTATAAATAGTGGAAGCCGCCGCTTCTCGGGGCTCTTGTACAAGACACCCGCTGAGAAAGGTGTAAGTGCGTGATACGGGTACCATGTAGTAAAAACGTTCTTTTCTTTCGGTAGTACACTGAGACTTTATGTATTGTATTAGAGACTTAGTAAAACACTAGTGAACGTTACTCTTGTCTTGTCTTATGTCTCTATCAGTCTATTACAGACCATATACTACGGTAGTGCGAATAACACGCATACAAGTCATACTGATTTATAACGATGTCTTTTTTACTGCATTGACGGTAAGGAGCTTGCAAGCTGATGTCATCGATTTTACCAATGCGCTGTCATTAAATAAATAAATACATACGCACGCACACACGCACGCACACACACACAAACACGCGCGCGCACGCACGCACACACACACACACACACACACACGCACGCACGCACGCACGCACGCACACACACACGCACGCACACACACACACGCGCGTAACTAATTAAATCGCCAATCAGCAGACGTTATACTTACGGTAGACCTTGCGGCCGGGTGGCGGCGTCGTGTGATGTGGTTCGGGATGAGCGACCTCGTTTCCTGCCTGCTCGTCGTCATCATCAATACCCGGAACCTCCACCTCTAGGTTCGACACCTGATAGAGCGCCACCGCTTGCTCCTCTGCACAACATCCAAGAACATCTTCGGACGCTCTTCGTTCCGTCTTATTCCATTTCATCCGTCCTCTCTCGCTCTTCTCTCAGCTCTTCTCTTTTCTTCCACACAGTACACACGCGCGCTGTCTCTTTCTCTCTGCTCACGCTACACACATTAACATTCTCTCTCTCTCTCTCTCTCTCTTCTCTCTTCTCTCCTCTCTCTACCCACAACACCACACACACACACACACAGCACCACACACACAACAAACACACCACCACACACACACGCAAACAGCAGAGGCGTCATTGCGCGAAATCATAGCGTGTAGGTCGCTAAGCTCTGTTGTGGAGATGGTAA